TCCCCCAGATCCCTTGGAGTGGGATAAGGGGATGGAAGAAGCGATCAAGGGTCCTGAGCATCCCCAGGAGGGCTCCTTCCTCCCCTATAGGAGACAAGCTCTTGAGCATTTTCTATTTCTGAGGGGATCCACCAGGAGCCAGGTGCCAAACCTGAGCCAAGTTTCCCTTTTTGGCGCCCTGAGGAGCCTGCCTGTGCCAGTGGTTCCCATGGAAACAGAGCCCGAGCCAGCCCCTCCTTCGCAGAAAGCCCAGGAGCACTTGCTTGCCCTCCCTACCCTGTCCCGCCCCCTTTTTATTGAGTCAGCCTATTGGCTCCAGCTGCCAGACCCTCAGGGGCAAAAACCCTAAGGCTGTTGATCCCCAGAGGGGAGGTGACAGTTCTGTCATCTGTCCATCAGGACTTCAATCTGGGCAAGGGACTCAGCAGACTGAGGGCACACTAGGACGGGAATGGCAAGGACTGCAGAGGCTCCCAGGTCAGGGCCAGTCTTCCCAGCTGTCTTGCTGGCATTAGGCATGTTTCCACAGGAAGGGCAAGTTGAGGCCTTGGCGAGTCACACATGGACTTGGGAGAAAAGGGTCATTATCCTAGTCTATGCTAAGGATGGTAAAACTCAGAAAAGACAAACCAGCTATCCAGGCAGCTTTTTTCACTCAGCCAGTTCTGGGGGGAATTTTCTACCCACCAGTTAGTTATGTATGTCCAAGATTCAGGGGTGAACTTGGACACTGCTTATCACACAGCCTGGGACAGGCCTGGCCGTGTTCATGGCACTGTCTGAGGAGGCAGGATCTTCCAAGCAGCCCACCCCAAGTCAATACCTCTTTCTGGAGCCACAAGTCTCTGCTTGGTCCCCTTGCCTAAGTTCCACTCTTCTGAGATGCATTCCTTGAGAGTAACAGGCTGTGGCAGAGCGAGCCTAGAACCGAGGCCTCCCCTCCTGGACCTGCCAGGGAGCCAGCAACCTCCTCCTACAGCCACTACCCTGCATGGTGCCCCTCATAGAACACAGGCAGGAGGCGTCTGTGCCCTGCCAGGAGCCTCGCATCACCTGACCCTCTTTCTTCCTTGGGTTCTCTCAGGAACTTTCCTCAATACCTGCAGACACTTCCAGGATCTTTCCAGGGTCAGTGGAAGATGGAGGAATGAAAAATAGCCAAGGCAGGGCTCCCCAAGTGGACCTCAGCCTTGCTCTGCCACGTGGGCCCGAGCTGACTTCCCCTAAGAGAAAGATTCTTTGGAGGCCCGTTGGGCCCAAAATAGGTTTAGGTTGGCGAAGGAGACCCAATGTGGTTTGGCAATACTTGGGCTGATGGGTTTTAGCTGTGGCTTCCTCATCTTTCCCTCAGGTCCTTCGGTGTCTAGGCCTTGCGGGGGGGGGGGGGGGTCCAGGAGAGCCGGAAGGGACATCTCTCAGGAGTCACACCCCACAGCGCTTACCTGTAAGAGGGTTTCCACTGGGTGGAGGTGGTTTAATCTCACAAGAGCTCCAAAAGTGCCTGTTGCAAAAAAAAAAAAAAAAAAAAAAAAAAGCCTTCCTCCGATGCTGCAAATCTCACAAGCGGACACAGCCTGGAACCGCAGACACCTGGAGTCATTTTTACTGTCTTTCTTAGACGCTTGAAGCCTCTTTTGCCACCTCTTGGGAGGGGACAGAAGTGGCTCTTGGTCACTTTAGGCCACACAGCACAGATGGCACTCTCCTTTGGCACACCTGCCCTGAAGTGGCGGCCACTGGGGCCAAACTGGGCTTCCAAAGGCAGGAGTTCTGCTTCCAGGGAGGGCGGGTGGGTAGCCTCCAGGTGAGCTTCTTTCTGGGACGGCCCACCCTCAGTCTGTTGTGGGCAGCTCCAAGGGTCCTCAGGCCTAGTGTCCTAGGTCCTGGTTTGCTTTCCGTTGCTGTGATAAACACCAAGACCAAGGGAGGAATGGGTTTATTTCAGCTGGGGTCCATTGCAAAGGGCAGTCAGGGCAGGAACTGAAGCAGAAGCTGAGGAAGAGCTTACTGGCTGCTCAGCCTGTACACCCCATCCACCTGCCAGGGCTGCACTGCCCCCAATGTTCTGGGCCTTCTCATACCAGTCATTAATCGAGAAAATGCCCTCCAGACTTGCCTACAGGCCAGTCTGATGAGGCAGGGTTTTTTTGTTTGTTTTGCTTTTTTTGTTGTTTTTGTTTGTTTGTTTGTTTTTTGTTTTTTTTTTTTGCAATTGCTGGCCTATCTTTCCAGGTGACTCTACTCATGTCAAGTTGACAAAAAAACGAACCAGCACCCCCGCCATTGCTGGCGCCCTTCCTTCAGACCACATGAGATCTTCCACACAGCTATGATGTGGCTGGGCGATCACGGCTGACAAGGCGCTCCCAATACCCAGGGGCAGATGCACCTGCTCTCGCCTGACATCTGCTCCTCCTCCAGGCCTGGAACAGGCCAACCAATGCGGTCCCAGGCCGACTCTCACAGGAGCCTTCATTTGCACCGGTAGCCCTCCCCTTAGCTCTGCCATTCATGCAGCTAACAGTGACCTATAGATGGGAGGAGGAAGTATCTGTTCCCTACATTCCCCAAACTGCAGGATCCCAGGAATCCCACTTGTTCTTTTTTTTTTTTAAGTGGTCAGGAAGGGTGCATGGGACACAGGACACATGTGCTGGTCAAAGAACAACTTGTGGGAGTCAGTTCTCCAACCACTTGGTCCTGAGAGCAAACGCGAGTCATGAGGTGTGGCAGCAAGCTCCCTTATCCAGGGAGCCTTCCTGCTGACCCTCTTCCGTTTTTTGGTGCCTCTTCCTTCTGGTTTCAGTGAACGGAGGGCATCTCACCTCACCCTTGGGCTTAGCTTACCTCCCTCAAGTCTCCATTGGCCCTGGTTCCTTGGTACCCTCCATGTAGATGAGAGCTTGGCTGCCTCAACACTAAATTCCACATCAGCCATGGGCAGCAGTCAGGACTGGGTGGGATAGGTCCTTCCACCTGTCCTCACCCAGATCTTATTACTGTCTGTAAGACTGAAGAGGGTGACGTGCTCCACATGGCATATCTGGGATACTCAGGGAAGGACTAGTTGCCAGGGGAAAAGGCTTAATTCCACCAGGCTGGCTGCCAGCCTCCTCAATAAGTACATGGACTGAAGAGGTAAGGAAATGGTTTTGGCCCTTGAACAGTGGGAGGAGGGGCATTGTGATCAACCCTGAGCGGGACCTCAGGTTGGATCCAGGCAATTCTGATGGGTACTGGAATGCCACCAGCCTTGGAGGTTCCTCTGGGTGGATCTTGCCCACACCCAATCTCTGTGCCTTCCCTTTCTAAACCAAGTAGCTAAGTGCACGCCTCTGTCTTGGCTGACACATAGTGCCCAGCTCAGTGAATAAATGTTCACTCCGCTCCAGCCCCGGCCATGTGGCCCTTGCTTGTGCCCCCTGCGTTGCCCAGAGCTGTTCACCTAGGACCTCAGATGCCCTAACCCACATGGTGCTTCTTTGGCAGTGCCTGCGACAGGGCCCTGTGCTGAGCAACCAGGTGGAGATCTATCGGAGCCCCCAGGCCCCCAATCTGTCATCCCTCCTGCCACAGGGACATCAAGGACATATGACTCAAACCTCCCTGGAGACAGGGCCTCCCTCCCATGTTCCCACAGGAGATGGAGACCTGCAGAGAATCCAGTAGGACACGTCTAGGGTCAGGACCAGGGGACCCGATTCTGGATGACCTTGAAGCTGCCAGGTAATTTCCCGGGGCTTCATCGGGTTCAACCACCTATAACAGCTGGACCTCCCCGGAGACCGTGGTAATGACAGGTAACTGCTGCAGCTGTGTATGTGTGTGTGTGGGGGGGGTTGGTTCAGCTTCTGTATGGAGCAGGTCCAGCCAGGCGCCACCCAGCATTTTAAACCAGGAAAACGGGATCTGCGTTTCTCTACAGCTATTTCTGTTTCTTAACCGCCAGCACCTCCGTCCCTGGTGACCAGTGCTTACAGCAATAGCCTGAAATACTTTTCCCAAACAGTGTCCAAGCAGGGCATTGGTGGCGCATGCCTTTAATCCCAGCACTCTGGAGGCAGAGGCAGGCAGATCACTGTGAGTTTGAGGCCAGCCTGGTCTACAGAGCGAGTTCCAGGACAGCCTCTAAAACAATATAGAGAAACCCTGTCTCAAAAAACCAAAAAACAAACAAACAAACAAAAAACCCAAACAACAACAACAAAAACCAAACAGTGTCCAAGAGTCTGTGACGAGGTTTCTGGGTGCTGAACTCGAGGAATAATTCCCAGTTAGACACCACTTGTAAAAGAGAACGTGTGACATGTGTACCTTTTGAGCATTTGAAATGATATGTATTTAAGCTGCAGAGAGCACATGTAAAGTTCCACAGAGCTGGAATGGAGATGTAGCTCATTTGAAAGAACTGTTGCTTAAAGTGCATGAAGTCCTGGGTTTGAATCCCAGCATCACATAAAACCAGGCATGGTGGGAAAGGTGGGTTATTTCCATCTTAGGATGTGTTCTGATTCCAAAAGATGCTGAGCAGAGCTTTAAGGAACATCTAGTTAAAAGCCACGCCCATCAAGAGTGGGGTGCCTGGCAAGTCTTCCATGCCCATCAAAAGAGGGGGCCTGGCAAGTCTTCCATGCTGTGGAGAGGGGTGAAGAGTTGGCTCAGACCTACTCTCTAGGGAACTTTGAGTTATTTGGTCCCTGCCAACGGGTTAAGGTGACCCTGTTTGCTGGGTCCTCAGCCACTGCTGGATGAACACAACATCCTCATGGAAGATGATGTCATCCAAGGCCTCCAATTATTCTGACAGACTTTCAGATACAAGTGCCAGCATTCAACCAGCCCTACCGCATAGAAGGGGCAAGACGAAACTAATGAGAACAAGGACGCACCAGGAGCTCCCCAGGGCCTCCCATCTCACGAAAGACTCAACTGAAAATAACTTTGCTTAATGTGCTCAGGTGTCTTGTAGATCACATAAGCAACTCTGACAGAACTGGAAATGATTTTTTGATTGCTTTTATTTCATTTGTTTAAATCCCATCAATTAGATCTAAAAAATGCAGGGTGTCACTTCCTCACCCCCAAGTAACAAGTAACAACCAAAAAACAAACAAACAATAAAACAAAAACTTCCAACCTCTGGGGAAAGCCAAAAAAGAAAGAAAAACAAAATACAAAAAAGCCAACCAAACAAAAAATCTTGTTTGAGAGTATGCTTGCAGGAGTCTTAGCACATTGAGTACCACCATCCTAAGTCCTGGCAGCAAAACTGCTGCTGGCTCCTAAGATGCAGCTCCACATCAACACGCCTGGAAACACAGCAGATCACTGTCATAGAGGGCTCCCCCTTTAGACCCTGGCTCCGCCCTCAGCCTAGCTCTCAACTCCTGAGGAGCACTTGCTTGGCACCAAGCCCTGTCAAGGGTTCCACCCATGAAAACCCTACATACAGGCTCTGAGGAGCCTCTCCATTTTGTCAAAAGGAGAAATTGAAGCATGGGGGACCCACATCACATTTTGAGATGCCCCAGCTAGCAGCATCAGAACCAGGCTGTGAATCATATGACTAGGCAGGCTCTGCTCCCCACACGGAATTGCCACACAGTCCCAGGATGCCTATAAAGAGGCCTTGGGATTCTTCCCACAGATACCAATTAAATACAACTGTATACTGAACCTTAGCCTTAGGGACCCAGCCTCGGGGACCCAGAACCAAAGCTCACAAAAGTGACATGTTAATGGAACAGAGACTGTCCCTAACTTCTCTCTTTTCTTTGTCCTTTCTGGACCCAGTGTCCAGCACATAGGGACCATGCAGAGACAAGTGAGGGGTGATCCCAGGCCGTATGTTCAGGATGGAAAGAGGAGTGAGTGCAAAACCCTGTTCTCACCACCAGATCCGACTTAGGAAAGACAGTGGGGCCCACCCATGCTACTGTCTGTAAGGAAAATGGGGAGCCCCAGTGTGACCCACATCCCTGGTCCTCTCTTAGGAGCCAGTGCTCAGAGAGAAGATAGGGCCAGCATGGCTATTTCTAACCTGGGGTGCAGACAGGACAGCTCAGTCCTCATACAGGCCTGTTTTACCCCCACTGAGAACAGGAGATCCAGACTAGAGCTCCAAGAAGGCTCAGGGGTCATGACCTCAGCCGTGACATCTGCTGCCTGCTTGGTTAGGTGGACAGGAAGCAGGGCTTGGAGCCAGCAAGGTGGTAGTGAGGACAAAAGAAGAGGGGATAATGAGGGTTGGGTTGGGAGGGGGCTGGGGCAGGACTTCCATGGAAAGAGCAAGCAATGGGCAGGGGAGGAACAGGAATGGGGCAGGTGGGGGGATCAAACTCAGACAAGGGGAAAGGGGCTTGGGCAGGAAGCGGGGAGAAAGTAAATGGGGGACCTGTATCCCACCTAAAGGCTGGGGAAGGAGCTCCCATGGCTGGCGCAGAGGTCCTCCCTGTTCCTGGGATACCATAGCAAGGGGGACAAGGGCTAGCTACGCAAAAGAACCTGCTGCTCTGAAGGTCAGTAGAGGCTGTATATGATATACGCATGTGCCAAGAGGAAAAGAGTGAACGGCGGGACTGTAAGCTGGAGGAGGGAGGGACAGCCAGCGCTGGGGGCCAGCCTGGGCTCTGGGAAAGGGGTTACACAAGTCTTCTGGTCCAGGCTGAGACAAGGAAGGAGAACAGGAAGCCACAGGGATCACCTTGCCTGTTAGAGACTAACAAGGAAACAGGTGAAGGTGGTGGGGGAAGGGAGGGGTCCCATCCACCCCGTCCCAGACCCCAAACCTTCCTGCCCTCCCCAGATCTGAGCACCTCAGCTCAGGCACTCAGGGATTACATGGGGGGATGGAGAACTCACCGGTGAGTGGGTTCTATAGCTTCAGGGAGGTGACCCTGGGGATGTGGAAAAGCTGTGTCTCCTCAGAGCTGGTGGAGCTGTGATATCACAGAACCAAAGTGAGTCCCAGCACAGACCCCCTGCCCTGACACAGGGACAACTGGAGCTCTGATGTCCCTGCCACAGGGAAGTCCCAAGAAGCTATCCCCCGGGGGGTCAGGTTGCAGCAAGAAAGATGCGGCAGGCTTATGTGGGAACTTTCAGGCACCAGCATTCCTCAGAGACAGGCCAGAAGCTCTCTCTGCCAGGGAGGGTTTCAGGCAGGGTGTGGCCCAAAGGCTGAAGGAATTCCTGGACATCTGATGCCCACTGTGGTTCTGGCAGCCCCTTACCCGAGGCGTTTCCGGATGGGACGGAAGTATTTGGAGGTCTTGACTGCGAAGACGATGCTGGGGATGAGGAAGAAGGTGCACCACCCCAAGCAGAACCAGAAGGCATTCTGGGTAGGAGCCATGAGGTCAGCTTACCAGGCTGGGCAGAGATGTCTTCCCGCCAGCCCTGTGCCCAGAGGATCTGCACTGACTCATGGCCTCATGCCCTCCTACTGTCCCCGTCCACTGGGCTCTGTATCCCTGACAGGCTGGGGACACTCACCCAGGGGTCGGCCATCATGTCACACAGGATCACATGGCCATTGTCCAGGGCTCCAGAGAGGGGCTGGCAGGTGGCGATGTGTTGAGTCACCTGTGGTGCCAACATGAGACAGGTGTGTGTGAAGACATCTGGATCCACAGATGTGCACCCCATATTCTGAGGATGAGGCTAAGAGGAGCACAGAGAAGCCCAGGGACATAGCTGGGATCCACCCCACACTTGAACACAGAGCGGCAGGTGCACGCACAGACGTATTGGTCATGCGGAAGGACACGGAACTTCCTGCTCAGCTCAGCTTCAACCCTTTCATCTACCAGCCCACATGTGAGTCTCATTGTGTCCCTCACTGTGGTTTTAAGTCATTGTCACCAGAGAGGCAACGTGTGTGCACACACATGCCTGCCTTCCAATGCATGTGCACGTGTATACACAGACTCTCACGGGCAAGCCAAACCCCTGTGAAGCCTAGACCATTCCCAGAAGCTATGGCCCACGGGATGTGCAACAGGAGGTGGACTTCGATGGCTGACTTCAGAAAAGCAGGGCGAGGGACCTATCCATGGAGAGGCATGGGGGCAAGGAGTAGATGGAATGTTCTAGAAGGCTATGTCCAACCTAGCCCATACTTGGGCCTCACAAAAGGGCTTGGGGTAGAAGTGGGGTGGGCAGCATCCATCTAGTGAGTGAGAAGTGCAGATGGCAGATTTGGGAGTTTGGGGCCAATCCCAAAGGGCACCCCGAAGGGCTCCACGGCTGGCCCACTGGGTGGGTACGCTTCGAGGCAGGTGGAGATCTGAACACTTACCTCTTCCCTCACCCAGGCCACATACTGAGAGAAGTAGCCCATTTCCCTGACCAGGAAACACTCCGAGGCCTACAGGAAACAGAGAAGCCCAGGGTTGGCAGGGGTCTTGCTTCCCCATACCCTCTCATATCTGACAGGATGAACCTGGGGCTCTCATGGGGGCCACAGTGAGAGAGGGGAAGCCTGTGGTAGACACTTCACGTTTGGCTGAAAGGCAGTGCCCTGATCCCGACTCACAGTCCTCATGATGTAGCTGGTCTGGGCAGGCAGCACTCCTTTTAGATGAGTGGCATTACCAAGAACATCTGAGGTGTCCACCTGCAGGAGACAATAGCCCGAATCAGCCATCCATCTGTCCACACCCCCACCAGTCCATCCATCCATCCATCCTACAATACACCACACATCACCTTAAGGGATGAAGGGCAGGCTCTAGGACCCAGAGACAAAAAAAAGGGGCGGTCAATGATCTGACCCCTTTGCCCCTCCCTTCCCCTCCCCCCTCCAAGGGGACAGACAGAACAGAGGTCTCAGAGCAGCCTTCCTGTTCCCTCTGCTGCCCACCCGCTCTGACCCTCCCCCCACTCCCACCAGCCACCTGAAGTTTGGGGGCAGAGGACTCCAGGGCCCTGACGCTGAGGTTGAGCTTGGCCTGTGGGGGAGGAATCGGGTTATTATAAGCAAGGATTCAGAGGCAGGAAATGGAGAATGTGAGCAGCCTCTCCTTCCTTTCACTGCCTTCTCCCCATTCCTCTTCTCCCTCCAAACTTACCACAAGACTCTGCTGGGGGACAACCTTCTCCTGGTAGAGGCTTCGGAGCTCCCTGGCCTCCTCCTGCAGCTGCTGCCTCAGTACAGAGTTGTTCTGAGGGCAGACAAAAGGATTAGAATGGTTCCCACCCCAACAGGAAGAAGTTCTCTCTAAGAACTTCAGAAACTTGAGACATCTGTAACTACAGAGAGTCCTGTGCGGAGTGCACATGTCCATTAGGGGGTCCTCCCCGCGCCTGTCCTGGCAGTCTGAAACTGGCCTGCTGTGTAGGCTTAGATCAGAACCTTCATCTGATTGGACAGAGGTCCAGAGATGTGAAATGACTTGCCTAAGGCCACACGGCAAATTGGCAGCAGTGCCAGAAGGAGAGCTGAAGAGGCAGACCCCTCAGGCCCAATAGCAGGGTAAAAAGCCCAGCACCCAGGAGTGGGGCCCTCAGTCTCCGGCATCTGTCCCTGCCCTCGCTCCTTCCCAGCATTCCTCGTCCCTCCTGCCCGGCTGTCTGGCTAAAGGGTCCCTGCTCCCTTCTCACTTGAGCCTGGGCCAGTCCCTCCAGCTCCTGGGCCAGCTGCTCCATGTCAGTCTTCACCACAGGCTTCTGGATCTGAAGACAGGAGACACCAAGAAGGCTGAGCCCAGATGTCCCCAGATACCCTCGGCCTCTGATTCCCAGCTTGTCAAATGTGCCCTGCACCAACAAGTCCGTTCATTTGCACCCTGCCCCCACCTCCACCTAGAATCTCAGAGGCCTCATACATCCTCCTCCTTCTACCTGGAGGAGTGCTGGATTCAGGCATGTGTTAGCACATCAGGCTTTACGTAGCACTGGGGATTGAACCCAGGCTGGGGATTGAACCCAGGGCTTTGTACATGCTAGGCAAGCTCTCTACCAACCGAGCCATATTCTCAGCCCCAGCTAAGTCTATTGTGACGTGAGTCATGGTGAGTTTGAACTGAAGTTGTGAAGTATTTCAGAATTTCCAAATATAAAAACCAAGATGCCAGCTAGAGTGACTTGAAGAAAAACCAGTGTCCAGCTGGAGAGATGGCTCAGATGTTAAAAGCACTGGTTGCTCCTTCAGAGGACCTGAGGGGGGGGGGCACAGGATTTCCAGCACCTACTTGGCAGCTCACAACCATCTAAAGCTCTAGTCCCCTGGTATCGGCTGCCCTCTTCTGGCCTCCACAGGCACTGCATGCATGTGGTACACAGACATACATGCAGGCAAAACAGCCAAGCGTGTGAAGAAAAGACTCAGTGTCAAGCCACCATTCTTAGCAGAGTGGGTTCAGGACCATGAACAGCGACACATGACCTTGCTTAAGGGACCTAGGCAAGTGTACTAGTTCCTTAACAGGAAGAAGTTCCAGGAGTGGAGAGTGTGGAGTACTGGAAAGCGGCAACACACACCGCACACACACTCACACACACACACCTGCACATACACACACCGCACACACACACATACACACATCTGCACACACACACACACACCCGTGCACACACACACATACATACACACCCGCACATACACACACATACCTGCACACACACATACATACACACCCGCACATACACACACACACCTGCACACACACACACACCTGCACGCACACACACCCCTCACACACACCTGCACACACACACACGTGCACACACACACACACCCCACACACTGGCCCTTCTGTTCAGTGCTGCATCCTGCTGGGCACCAGATGTGCCCCTCACTGACCTGCACAAGGAAGTCTCCATAGTGGATTTTCTCCAGCCCGCTACCTTGCAAAGCCTCCAGGTCCCGGTGAGCAGCGGGGCGCAACAGGTCTAGATCCTTCACATCCACTTTGAAGTTCTGCAGCTCCTGCTGGAACTTGTGGGCATACTGAAGGAGAAGACAGGATGAGGCACATTGCCAAGCCTGGTCACTTGGCTCAAGGGCCATCACCTGTTTCTCCAGGTGGACATACCCTCACAGGCTTCCAGGAGACCTCTACTCAGAATCCCAGCCTGCTTCTAGGGACCATGTGACTTTCCCTGGCCACCAGCTTTCATTACCACATCCTCTGTACTAAGGCCTTCACAGCACCTACTCTAAAATCACTATTTCTGGGCTTGTTAATTACATCAGCTCAATAGTTCTGGGGACTTTGACTCTGACTGTAAGGCCCCTCATCTGCAGCAGAGTTTGTCAAGTGGTAGGTGAGATCCAGTGTGTAGACTCGTGAGTGAGTAAATGGATGAAGAGTGAATGGCACATCCACATTTCCAGGAAAGACATCCGGCATTTGCCTATCTGGTGGGCATGACATCCAGCTTCAACAGCAGAGAAGGCTGCCCATCTCTGGCCACCTCTCCCCACCCTACTAGGCAATTTCCTCCGGGGAGAGGGGTCCCCAGCTCTCTTAGTAGCAGCATTCCAGGCATCACAGACAGGGATGGGACATGATGTAGCAGACAGTCTGGTACCCTGAGTGGCACACTTTATCTTTCCAATCAATGCATAATTGGCTTTTTGGTGTCTCTCCTGAGAAGCTTTTCCAAAGTCACCATGCAACCTCAAAGAACTGCCTGGCCCCCCAGAACCAGAAGCTTCATTGGTTCATGCTTTTCTGTAAGACTGACAACTCCTTTCTGGGGCTGAGATCACCTAAGGCTGAGATGACTTCCAGACACCAGGCCTGGAGATCCCCTGTGCCCAGGTTCAGAGCCTCCAGCCATGGGGCCACTGTCTCTGGTTAAAGACAATGGAGGAAAAAGGTACCAACATTAAAGAAACATCCCTGGCCATGGCTTAAGACGTGGAGTCAGGACTGATCTTGTTTGACTGTGCTACCCCATTACTTAGGATGGAGACGAATCCAAGAGATTTCTTGGGAGCATCATAATGAGCTAGTTTTGTGTAGGCAAGGGTGATAGCTGGGGTGTGGGGGAGGGGCCAGCACGGGAGTAATGTTTCCTAATACATGCTTAGAGAAATGGCTCCTCAGGACTCTCTCCCCAACCTTTCCTAGGATGGAGATAGGGAGGGGGGCATGTTTCATAGATCTTTAGAACCACATTATAAATGCTCTCCCTCCCCTGCCTCTGCAGCTGTACGCTGTCAGTGTTGACAAGCGTCTGTGTCTTCCCCCACTCCCACTCTGCCTTTGCACTCAAGACCATTCTAACTCCCTGCACAACCTCTGGGGTCAGGCTGGGGGCAGGGGTGGAATCTGCGGGCCAACAGCTGGCTCTGAGGTACAGCAGGCCCCAGAGAGTTTCCCACCAGTGTCATTCAACTGCTCAGGAGCACTTCCATTCCACTCCAGCCAGAACACGCCACCCAGGACCTGTCCTCGTCAGGACCCCCCCCTTACTGTCCCTGTCCTCTCCTCCTATGACCTGGGCTGTGTGAAGCTTTCCCTGGAGCACATCCTCAGATATGCTCATGGCAGCCGCTACTCACACACCCACTCATGGCTCTGGAATCTTCCATAGCTCAAGCCCTGGACAGGCCCTGAGCTGGTTGCTAACACCTCTGCCTCGAGGAACCTTGATAAGAGATATTTTTCGAGTTTAGAGACAATGCCCCAGAAGAACAGAAGAAAGGGCTATGCAACCCACAAGGCAGGGGAGGGTGTCTTAACAGCCTTCTAGAACATTCTCTTACCTGTTTGATATCCAGGTGCTTATCCAGGTCATAGGAGTCATTGAGCTGTAGAACCTTCCAGAGTGCTGCCCCTGCCTTACACTGTCTGGGGAAGAAAGATAAACATCAACACGTTTGCACCTCTCTTCCATTTCCCCACTCCCAGGCCCCCCCGCTCACCGATAGGCCTGGAGGACACTGATGTTCTTTCTCAGGCCAAGAAGGTAGGACAGGTTCATGGACGGGGGCAAGTTCCCCGGGGTGTCTGCAAACTGCGGGTGGGCGGGCAGGAAGAAAGACAGCATACAGAGGTGAGGGGCGAAGCTGGCCTAGTGCCTGGTGCCATCCCCGTTACTCTCTCTAATTCAGGTGACCCCAGACCTGATCCTGCATGGGGGGCTTTGCCCGTGAGTCCCTGGCGGTGTTGTAACCAGGACCTTCAGCACGGTACTCTTCCCGGACTCAGAGTTAGGAGAGGGTGTGTGTGCCAACACCTGGAGTCCTTGTTGGGACCTGGGGGCACCTCAGGGGCTCGGGGCTCATGGGCGTCTCTCTACCTGCCCCCTCTCTCCCTTGATTTTCACCCCCACTCCTCCTATCTCCAGCTTGCACCTCTGGCTCCCACTTCCTGCTGACTCGGTTTCTTGGCTCCCTTCAGCTCCCTCCGAGCTGGAGCAGGCCCAGGCCCACCTTATACAGCTCTCCGCTCTCCCAGCTCCGGCACACCAGCGTCTGCACATTGCCACCCACCAGGAAAGTGGTGACGACCAGGAGGATGAGGGGGGCCGCAAAGAGGAAGCTGAGGGCCACACCTCTGGAAGTGAGAGACACGGTTGTGGAAGCCGACTGCCCTGGACCGGGCTTGTCCCCACCCACACCCTGGGACCAGCATAGGCCATGGGTTGGCAACAAGGCATGCCTCCTGGGCAAAAGATAGCCCAGCAAATCCCGGCAGCTCCTTGGCACATTCGCCCCACCCCCATCCAACTGCTGGGTCCTGCTGCCCTGGAAGCCTGGAGGGACACCTGCTTGTTCAGAGTCATTTCAGGACTTATGGCCCATGGAGTGCCCCACTCCGAGGCTCAACCTTTCTAAGTAGTCATTGGCATAGTGAGACATGACTCATCTACACAGATAACACTTCAAAGAGGCTGAGCAGTAGGTGCCCTTCCGCCAGGCCACTGACTTACAGAGGTGCTTTGTGAGTGGACACAGCCCCGTGCCAGGCCATGAGGCTTGGAGAGTGAAGTGTGGCGTGGCCTTCAGTTCCTCACTAATCCCTTTGATCAGGCACCTTGTGGGATGAACAGCCTGGCCAACTGTATGAGGCAGCCTTGGCCTTAAAGGCCATCTAGTTTAAGGATGACAAGCAGATGCTGCCTTTGTTGCTGCCTCCTGATGATGGCTTTGGGACTGCCTGGAAGCACAGCTAAGGATTCTGGAGCTGTGTCTGGGCTTGGTGGGTATACTATAGTTACTGCTGCTGTTGCTGTACCTGCATCAGCCCAACCCCCTTAGGTAGAGGGGAGCACTGAGACCCAGAGAGCTCACTGCCTTACTCCGAGTCACCCAAGCAGGGGGACCAGGTCAGCACCAAGGCTCATTCTCCTGACTTGCCAGACTCCACTTGTGTTGCCATACCGGGAGGAACCTGGCAACCCAGCAGTGAGGGTCCCTTCCCTTTCCCGGCCCCTGCTTACGCCATGAGGAAGCGGGCTCCAGCCTCGCCTTTGCTTTCTGAGTGGCTGGGATCCTCCCTGGCAGACAACCCCCAGATGCCTAGGCTGAGGCCCAGCAGGTTACAGATCACCACAAGCAGGATGGCAGAGCACAGCACACATCCCAAAATCCACCTGCCACAGACAGAGTATGGAGCTCATTGAGAAGGAAGGCAGCTGGAACCAGAGGGCTGGCCCGGGACCTAGACTTCTAGTCCCCAGGCTGGGACTTTAGAAGTAGGGGTGCAAACATTTTCTGAGGTCTCATAGCTTTTATAGGGTCCCTGGGCTCAGGTTTGGGGGTACACAGCCAGGTGGGACAGGGGTAGGATGGAAGCCTGAAGCGCCACTCACCTGTATGTCTCGTATCGCTGCACCTCTTTTAAGTAGGGGCGGCTGCGCTGTTCCAGGTCCTCCAGTGCCTGGCTCCAGCGGGAAGCTGCCTCTGACCCTGGGAACTCTTGGGCCAGTACCCTCACACCTTCAGGCTGCTCAGTCAGGGCCTTTTTCACATCTGCCCAAAGCTACAGGGTCTCAGAGGATTCAAAGGGCACCCAGGAGCCAGGGCCAAACCGCCGGGACCCATAGAGAACCCACCAGACAGGAAGACAGCCATCCCCACCACTGCCCGGCTCCTCTCTCAGTAAGCCTCCCTGGAAAGGGGATGGTGGGGATGGCCTCACCTTTGATCACACTGGCCATCTGCACTGCAACCAGGAGCGGGAGACTATTGAAGGTGGTATTCTCCTGCAGATCCAAACAAGGCTGTGTCTATTGCTCTCTGCCTGGAATTCCATCTTGGGGTCTCAAAGTCAGAGGCCCAGAGGGAGGATGTCGCTATTCAATGCTCCCACCAAAGGAAGTAATCCTCCCCTTGCAAACATGATTTCTCCTGCCTGACTCAAGTCTTCTACACACCCCCCTTGCACTCACAGTCACTTCCTAGACATCGATGGGGTTCATCCCATATCACCTGTCCCCATGCATCCCATCCTAACAACCAGCTCTGCTCCATCAGTCCAGCTCCATCCACTTTGGTTCTGCCTTCCTTCTTCCCAGTCTCCCAGCATAGCTGACTCACTGATTCCCCAACTCCAGGCCCTGGGTCACAGACTCTGACTCACATGGTACCACCCCCGCCTTGGCTGACTCCACCCAGAGAGCAGACCTGCCTTTCGGGGTGCAGCAGAAGCACCTGCTCCCTTGAGGCCTGACGACCCCATCCCATATGGGAACCCAACTCCTCTTTCTTAGCTGCCGACCTGCCTCTCCCATCTGACTGCAGTGGGGACTGGCACAATGAGCCTCTGGCCCAGGCTGCCACAGGGTGAGGGTGGACTCAAGTCCTGGGTTTAACCGGGTTCTTCGCGCCCCCCCGCTTGGTTTTTCAAGATATGGTTTCTCTGTGCAGCTCTGGCTGTCCTGGAACTCACTCTGTAGACCAGGCTGGTCTCAAACTCAGATCCACTTGCCTCTACCTCCTGAGTGCTGGGATTAAAGGCGTGCACCACTATCACCTGGCTTAACCAGGTTCTTGCTCCAGAGAGTGAAATTGAAGCCCTTCCCTTGTTAGTTCCCAAGCAGGTGGAACAGAAGGCCAGCGGACCGAGGCAGGGCTTACCTCCTCGACTATGCTGGAGAAGTTGGCCTCTGGGACACCCTTCAGCCGATGCAGGACATCAGTCACAGGGGGCACCTGAAATGGAGGGTGTTTATGACATGAGAAGGATTCCTATGGGGGGAAGGAGGTGTCTCTGAACCCTTAGTATCCTCATATGTAAAATGGGGACCACAGAACCCCTATCACCCTGGGAGGCATCGAGAGCCTAAGAAGTCAGTATATATGGAGCTCGGGCTATGTGTGTAGCTCTTGGAGAGCTTTGGCTCACTCTAAGAATGCAGGGTCATTAACCCTGTGTGCTCTGGAAAGGAAGGCACAGCCCAAGGAAAGTGTTCTCTGAAAAGTCAACCCCATGAAAGCCACCTGACCACTAAGATGCCAGAGGATTCCAAAGACCACAGCCCTTCCAAGTCCCAATGGGCTTGTTCGGTGCCTGCACCTGGCTGAAGTCAGCACCCAGCTGTAGAGCACTGGCCTGGCTTAAGGCCCCCTCGCAGTTCCCGAGGCACCAGCTCTCCTGCAGCAAGGTGACCAGGCGTTCCCGGTGAGCCTGCACAGGCGCTTCCAGGTCCTGCTGACCCTCCTGCAGCTCCACCGAGGTGGTGTTCAGGGCTCGAAGGTGGTCTATGGAAACCTGCAGGGCTAAGAGAGTCACACGTGGCCTGAGGGTCTCCTTCCTCATTTCCTGGTATCCTCTGCACCTTGGCAAAAAGAGACACCATATTTCCTCCTCTTGGCTAGAGGGACATAAACTGTCTATGGACATAATGGAAACTGCTGCCGGGCACATGAGGCCGGGAAATTGGCAGGGATGTCACACGCAGGATCCCAGCATAATGGGAAGAAAGGCTTGGGTGGAGCTGGGCCAGTACATGAAATCCAGGGGTGGGGGATGGGGTGGGGGACGGGAGAATTGGCTCCTGGAGGACATCTGCTGGACCCGCCCACATACAAGGCACTGGTCCAACTCACCCTGGCCCAGGCTGTGCACTGAGGCTAGCACCGGGTACACTGTGCTCTTGAGCTGGTCATGAATTATGTTCCCAAGGTTCTCACTGACACCTGGAGAACACAAGACATTTGACAGGGTTGCCCCTCCCCCAGGAGCTGAGGACATCCCCATCACCTCCCGTGAGCCCTGGGTTCTGCAAGGTGGTGGTGGCCTCCTTGTCCTGCAGCACAGGGAGATCCATCCCTCTTTGTGAAGTGGTACCCTGCAGAAGTCCAGGCTAAGGGAGCTGAGATGTTTCCCCAAGGCAGACCAGGGCAGAGGGCCCTGGAGCTGGCCAACGGTAACCCTCACCATCCAGCTCCTTCAAGACTCGCTCCTGGGGCACGGAGAACTGCTCAGCCACCGCCTGAAGCTCCTAGAGGAACACAGGGTCTAAGCCATCTTCCTTGTCCTTCCACAGCCCCATCCTCCAGTTAGGCATTTTGGGGACGTTCTGTCAGGTGGCAGTCAAGTGGCACACAGGAAGGGACACCGCTCTGCTTTGCAGGTTTATGGGACATTTTGGGCTCTCTGCCTCTGCCTTGAAGCAGGGTGCTCACACAGATGAGGGAATCGTGTAGTACTCACCCTAGGGACATCAGACACCAGGCCTCTTAGGGTGAGCAGGGTCTCAGGGACGGCTTCCACACTGGGGCCTGTCTGGCTGTGTGTGTACTGGTTAGTGACAAAAGCACAGACCATACCAATCCTGCAGGGACGGAGGCGAGGAGGAAAGGGCTTGCGGTGTGCCCAGGAGCATGGGGCCACCATCCGGCCCCCCCCACCCGTGCAGCCTCTCACAGGAGCACGAGGGTGGTCAGCAGCAGGAAGGACATGAGGGTGCCGCGTTCACAGGCCATGGCTTTGTGCTCCGTCTTCACTCTGCCCCCGCAGCGTCGGCGGCAGCGGCAGCAGCAGAAGCAGAGCCCAGTAGTGGGCACCAACAGGAGGTAGAGGGCAGCGATCACAGCGCACACCACGTAGCCTGCCTCATACCGGACCACCTGGGCATGGCGGCAAGCATGAGGGGCAGCCCTGCCTTTCCCCTACCCCCAGGAGAGGACGCCTGTGTACCTCTGCTTGTACCCTGGTGAACCCAGGCAGGATGTGCGAGGGGAGCGGTGTCCTTGCTAATTACCATGGGACAGATGAGGCACCTAGGGCTAGGGACACTGGAGATCACCGCAAACCCCGCCAGGAGTCAAGAGAAGATTTGGGGCTTGAACCCAGGAAGGAAATGGATGCGATGCGTAAGACTCGACTCTGGCAAACACTCAGCAAGGTGGGCTGAGCTGAGCAGGTGGGGGCCCTTCCGCTCGCCCGCCCTCCCTCCCCCAGCACCTCAGCCCTCACCTCATCTGTCTTCACAGAAGATGGGTCATTCAGCAGGGCCTTTATCAGCTCTAGGGGAAGGAAGCAAGCAGAGGGTTTGGGGACAGCCACTGCCCTGCCCTGTGTCTAGCCTCTCCCTATTGTCAGGCTTAGGGAGGCTCTTGCAGAAGACAGTGTGGCTGTGACACCTTGCCAGGCCTCATCTGGAGAGGCAGCTGGTAGAAGGCCTGCAAGCAGACCTTCTGGACCCTTCTAATAGACCTTTCCCTCCTCTTGCTTTTTATGGCCCTCCTGACCCCTGACAGCATGACACCCGGACAATGAGCCATATTTAACATAATGCTCTTGCACTTAGCGCCGGCCCAAGGTCAAATAAGAAGGCTCCGGAGCTGCTTGGGGAATCCCAGAACGTATGGAAGAAGAAGGTTGTGCAGCGCCAGAGACCTCACCCTATCCCTATCAAGTGCTCGTTGACAGGACGTGCACAGAGGCTAGCTGGGGGCCCGGTGCCTGACTCCTCCGCTGGGGGAGGGGACACTCACCCGACGGGAAGGGGTTGAGCTGAACTACGGAGAGGAATCGTCTCACGGTGCCATAGAGGGAGTCCAGGGGCCCCGGCGCGCGGACACGAGGGGGCAGCCATCGCGTCCTGGCTACTGGAGGGAAGGCCAGGTGCTCCACTCGCGCGAAGGGCCCACAGTCGACTGCCACAGCTCCGGGCAGGCTCAGGGCCAGCCCCAGGCCCAGACCCAGCAGGGGTACCACGAGGCCGGGCGAGCGCGTCATGAGTTCGGGCGGGTGGGCAACACAGGCTCGGGCGGCGGACAGTGCGGGCCAGCACCGGGCAGGCCGTGCATCCTTCTGCAGCCTTCTTCCCTCGGTCCCCGTGGCTCTACAAACCGGCCTGACAGGTTTGGGCTCTGGAGCTACCAGGTCGCCCGCCGGGAGCGTAGGAAGGGCAGGGGCGGAGGCCGGATGGGGGCTGGGTTGGGCCCTGGCGCCCTTGGCCTCTCTTTCCCCTCCCCACATGCTAGGCCAGGGCAGCCTGGAGCCCGTCCATGGGTATCGAAGAGTCTCTGGATTACCTAGGGGCGTCCAATTGCAAACAGAAGTTTCCACATTCAACCCCAGCAGCCCAACCTGAGGGCTGTTTAAACATGGCCACCGAGTGAAACCCTGGCCCAAAGAAGGGGTCCTAAGACCAGAGCCACAAACCAGGAGCTAGCCTGGCTCCCCCTTCTTCCTCTGGAGCCTGTTTTGTGCCCAGGAATGACCTCTGCCAGGCCAATCTGGAGCAGCACTGTCCTTAGGGGGAGCAGGGGCGTGCCCTTTGATACAGCCATGCCCATCTGGTCATCAGCAACAAGAATTGATGGAGGCTATGCCCACAGAGGTGTCTCGGAAGATGCGTGATGTGTGAAGGACTGAATGCTTGGTACCCTGTAACTGAGCAGGTGATGGAGAAATCACTGGACAAATGAGACATCTGAAGAAGGACGAATCGTCCAGAGAAAATGCCTTAAGAAAAAGAACAAATTGGCCTAATAGTATAGCACACTTCCATCCAATAGGATAAAATTTCACAAATCTTCCCAAATGTTTGTCTCTACCATTCTCTACAGATATATAAGGCAAGTGGTCTTTTTGTGGTCTCAATTCAATGACAATTTATAGCTGGCTTTGGAGTTGGAGTGTGGCTCTCTCCTTCTCTAAACCCAAGCATGCTTCTTAAGGGGAATCCAAAGTCTGTGTCATGTAGAAGAGCCACCTGGTATGGGACAGAAGAAAAACCAAAACTGGGGACCATTCTACTGCCACTAATCTCATAATCCTTTGGTTTATTTTGTCTTGAGTCTGAAGTAGGTAATTAGGAATCAAGCCTGTGTGTCCCAGGTATATTTGATAGATCATGGTCCTTTAACCTCTTAGAGATCGGCTGCATATGACATTTAAAATGCTTAAGTTTTCTGCAGTGAACCATGAACATTCCTAGCAGCTAGCTCTGATGGGGCCTCACAATGACAATTCCACCTGAATTATGCTGATGTCATTAAGTTGACAAACCCATTCCAAAGATCATCTCTGGACTACAAACTGCTCAGGGTAATTTCAAGGCAATTAGCTAAGATGATCCAGCTTCATAGACTACTCCAGCCAGGACTTCAGATAAGCCTTGTATTATCCCATCGCACCAAAACTGGACAACAGCTAGCTCCCCCAAAATTTGACCATTATCTTAATTTTTTCAGGGTCCCCTAAAGATGGTGTTACCCCCATACAACAGGAAATAATTTTAAGAACATGATGCCCACATTCCCAAGAGGTGGGGTGGGTGGTTTTTGATCATTCGATGAATGTTTGTCATTGCTTGGGGGTTTGGGGGGTGGTCACAAGTTGTTATTGGTCATGGTCAGGGAGGATACTAAGCAAAGGAGATTAGATTCTGGGATCTCATTCTGAAAAGAAAAGGAGGAGATATGGAAATGTTAGGATAAAGGGGTAGATTATTGTATTTACTTCCAAACTAAAACAACAACTACTAGTCTTAAATATTTTACATTGATATGGATTTTTGTATATTGAAACAAGTTTAAAGTTATTTTTGTTATACTATATATATGTATATATATGTATAAGCTTAATTGCTTACCTAAAAATGTTTAGAGGTCTAAAAAATAGTTTTAAGATGGTAATTCAGTTATGATAAAAATGGTATAGGCATAAGACTTCAAATTCATCAAGATAAGATAGAAAATAGATTATTTTCTCAAAATATGCCAAATACAAATAGACAGGACATTGTAAATGTAATTTTTAAAAAGATTTATTTATTACATATACAGTGTTCTGCCTACATACCAGAAGAGGGCACCATATTGAATTGTAGATGGTTGTGAGCCACCATGTGGTTGCTGGGAATTGAACTCAGGGCCTCTGGAAGAGCAGTCAGTGCTCTTAACCTCTGAGCCATCTCTCCAGTCCTGTAAATGTAATTCTTACTTAGTAATTGTTCTTATTGTATATAGTTTTACCATTTTAGAGTTAAAACCTTTCCTTTTTATTTAGACAAAAAGGGAGAAATGCTGTGGAATAATTTTTTTGTACACTGTGAAGATGTGTCGCTCTGGTTTAATAGAAATCTGAATGTTGAATAGCTAAGCAGGATTTTGAGGACAGAGAGGATGCTGGGAAGAAGAAGGCAGAGACACTGGGAGATGCAGAGTAAGCAGGATGGGCAATTCAGAGATGAGGTAATAAAGCCACCAGGCAGAAAGTAAATTGCTAGAAATGGGTTAATTTAGGTTGTAAGAGCTAGTTAGAAACAAACCTAAGCTATCGGCTGAGATTTCATAATTAATAGTAAGTCCCCATGTCATTATTGGGGAGCCAACAGTCCGGACAAAACATCTGCCTCCATCCCCACAGTTCTCAGACTGGGGGGCAATAGTGCACAGTCATGGAAGGAATGGTACACTTAATAATGGGGTACAGACTGAAAATGGGGCCTCATTAAAGGATGATTCAGAGATGAAGATCAAGGCTGTGGTGAGGAGTGGGTTGTGGTACCCGGGTACCCAGGCTGTGTCCCCTGGAGCTCAGCCCTGGTATGTGGAAGACACACCTAATTAATCTGGCCCCTGGATTGTGCCGAAAAACTGGATTCAGGCCCAGCTAGCCCACCATCCTCCCTGCTAACCCTGGTCTCCTTTCTTCCTGGACCTAGGTTCTAGCTGTTGTAATGATTCCAGAGCTATCACAATCTAACTCTAGCCCCATCACCAGAAGGATGGAAATAGCTTTTCACCGAACCTAGTATAATCCACCTCCTGGGCAAATAGAAGCTGCCATTGAAGATTTTAAAAAGGTGTGTGTGTGTGTGTGTGTGTGTGTGTGTGTTCTGATTTGGATGAATTAATGTAGGAGTTTAGGCCCCAGCTCTGGGGTTATGAGGAGAGCAGGGAAGAATGAAATCTGAGGCTGTGGTAAATAAGCAGGTCTTTTTCTACCCACTCACTCTCTCTCCCTAATTACCATAATTAGGACAATCACTGCCTGCTACCATTGTTTTCATAAATGTCTGTAATAAAAATACAGCACTTTGAAGGTGAGATTTCCCCCAGGAAAAAGCAAAACACACAGGCCTCTTCCTCAGCCTGGGGGCAGGAAGGTTGATAAAGATAATCCACTTATTTGGCAGGTAGAGAAATTGAGGCAGGGCAGGGACTTTCCTGAGTCAGTCTCCAGATCAGGAGCCATCAGGATCTTGGTGGAACCATCTGTCATCAGGCTGGCTTAGCCCCACTTTCTCCACTCCAGTCGTACATGTGATAGCTGAGGCACAGAGGCCAAGGGGATGAAGTTCTGAGCATTTAAGGTAGTCTGCCATTGGGAAAACATCTAATGCAAAGCCCATTTTATTTTATTATTTTTTTTGGAGACAGGGTTTCTCTGTGTATCTCTGGCTGTCCTGGAACTCACTTTGTAGGCCAGACTGGCCTCGAACTCAGAGATCCACCTGCCTCTGCCTCCCGAGTGGTGGGATTAAAAGAGTGCACCACCATTCCCCAGCTACAGCCCATTCAAAAAGACCGCCTTCTTCTTCTTCTCCTTCTTTTTCACCTTCTTCTTCTCCTTCTTCTTCACCTTTTCCTTCACCTCCTCCTCCTCCTCCTTCTTCTCCTTCCTCTTCCCCTTCCTCTTCCTCTCCTCCTCCTTCTTCTTTCTTCCTCTTCATTTTTTTTGAGAAATGGTCTCACTATGTATCCCTGGCAGGCCTGAAACTTTCTATATATTCCAGGCTGGCCTTCAACTCACAGAGATTTATCTGCCTCTGCCTCCCAAGTGCAGGTTAAAGGTATATACCATTACATCTGCCTAAGATTTTTAATTGTGTGTCTGTGTATGTGTGTTTGTGTGTGTGAGTACATGAGTAGAGGCATCAGGTCTTCTGGAGGGAATTACAAGTGATTGTGAGCCACCTGGTATGGTGCTGGGAGCTGAACTCTGGTCCTCTGTAAAAGCAGGACATGCCATTAACTGGTGAACCATATCTCCATCTCCCTAATTTTCAAAAATTACATTTGTTTGAAGGGGTAAGCACATGTGGAGGTCAGAAGACAAATTTTGGGGGTTGGTTCTCTTCTTCTGCCATGTGGATCTTGGAGGTCAAAGTCAGGTCATCTGTGTAGGTGGCAAGTGCCTTTACCTGCTGAGCCTCTTTTATAATGAAGTGTTGAATGTTTCATATAATTTGCTAAAGACTGAAAGTGGAAAACAGGACGGATGTACAACTACCCTTACACATTGCCTTAGCATTGAAAACTGCTGTCAAACCATCTTTGAATGAGGGATTATCTTATATTTGCATAGAATGTGAGTCAGGGATAAATAGAAAAGTCAGGTGGTGGTGTGTGTCTACACATCTGCAATTCCAAGGCGTGGGAGGCTGAGGCAGAAGGATGCTTCATTTAAGGGCAGCCTGGAGTACACAGTTAGACTCTGTCTTTTGGGGATGGGAGAGAACTGGAAGGAGACATATACCTGTTTAGTCTTGGCTACTAGGAATTCTAGGGCAGGAGGATCACCAGAGGCTAGGAGTTTGAGATCAGCCTGGGTATAATAGTAAGATCCCTTCAAAACAGACAAACACAATTTAAGTAAATAAACCAAACAGATGGGTAAGTCTCAGACTAAAGCTCTGTATGAAAGAGAGAGTACTCACGGAAGGGGTCAAGTGGCAGGGGAGGGTGGGCAGGGATGAAGGAGGCTCTTTGATAAGCAGCTACCCATGGGAATGTCTTTATATCATCATCAGGCAGTAAGGAAAAATCAAGGCCCAAAGAGAGGCCACTGGGATCAGGAAAGTGCTTCAAGAGTCCCTGACAACCACTACAGACT